CTGCTTCCTGTCAGTTTGTGACCGTTTCTAGTCACACACCCCCCAGGGGCGCCCTGGTAAACAGACCATCTCCTAATTCCTTGCTGCCCCCTGCGATGAATTTGTAGATGGCCACAAGATCACCTCTCAGCCTTCTCTTGGGGAGGCTGAAGAGAGCCAGGCCCCTCAATCTCTCCCCATAGGGCCTTACCTGCAGGCCCCTAACCATCCAAGTAGCCTCCTCTGGGCACATATTGAAAAAGAGAAGCAGCATTTTAGAACCAAAGTAACTGAATTTGAACTCCCAATGAGGTAGTTTTCTCAGAAACTTGTACCCAACCAAAGGGTAAGAATTGTGCTTCTTTGAACACATTCTGGTGGAAAGCCCACAGCCATCTGCAGCTGAGGACAGTTAGACCCTGGCATCCCCAATGAGACACCCGAAGGAACACAAAGGTTCTCTAGGATCCTCTCTCCTATTTGAAAGGTGAAAGATCTGGAATCACATGGATTAAGACATGTCATAAACCAAAATTTCACCTCCCGGGGAGCAACAGAAAAGCTAAAACAGGCAAATGAAACAGAGCAAGCGAGGAGGATTAGGATGCCAGGTACAAGGTGAAAAGACAATCCAACCAAAGCACTGGCTCCAGAGTTGTAAAGCTTCATTACATCAAGCAGTAATATGTTCAGGGATGAGTACTTGTCTTTTTTTCTTTCCAGAAACCAGATCCTTCTCATTTGTGTCCCTCCAAAATATTGCATTTCCCTTCTCAAATAGGATCTGTACATCACACCAGTGTTCTGGGTACACCCAGGACATTGCTAGAACTTGAGTTCAGCACTTATCAGTAGCATGGAAAGGTTTTGTATCATCAGGGATAGCAGACAAATGCAGTTTTACCTTTGGGTGGTGCCAACAGGCCTTCAGACATCCTCCTCTTCTTGAGCTTATCCTTGATTTGGGAAGTCTCCATGGCTGCACTGCTCACCTCCAGTTCTCTGGGATCATGTTTCAAGGCTGAACAGGGAATCTGAGACGCATCACCTGGGGCTGCAGTGTCCAGATGCTGAAGACTGCTCTGGCTGTCCCAACCTACCAGAGGGGAAATGGCCCTGGAATAAGGTGGATTCCCATCTCCACCCCATATACAAGATTGCTTCTTCATCTGAGCATTTAATACAGACTGAAGAGAGACTGAAAAACCAAATGGAAGAGAAGGGTTGAGCAAGTCAACCTCATTCTTAATCAGTCAGTCTATTCTGGGCAGCTGTTTTATTCTAGTTTCATAAGGCAATTGATTTTTAGGTTGGGTTCAGATAAAAAAAATATTGTGAATCTAGTACCTGGATTGTCTGGCCTGGAAGGAGAGAATAAAGGCACCAGCTCGAACTATGAGTGGGGAATACCATCTTAAGGTCTTTGGCTTCTGAGACTGAGAACTGGGATTCCAGCAGTGGTGCTGGTTTTGGTTCATAGGAATCCAGACACATGGTCTGAGGATTAGGACTGACCCCCCTAATCATTGAGCTTCTTACTATTTTCTGGCTGGGGTTCGAGAGGAGGGAGGGGTGATTACACCTCTGCCCTCAGCAAGCCTCTGCAGTCTGAAACGAACATATAGACTTGTCGTGGCAAATGAAGACTAGAAAGGTTGATTTGGACAGCAGAGCTGTTAGAGCATCCCTCATCCCCTGCAGTCAGGTTTGGAGGCTTAGGTTTCCATTTGGCCTGGACCATGGGTCCTTACCTTCTTCTGCTGTTGTCCATCTGCTTCCACATAATTGCAAATTTGAATCGACACTTCCCCCTCGCAATGACCTGCATCTGGGCTTGACTTTGGGGACACTCCCACAGTACACCGCAACAGGGGCCTGGAATTTAGCTATAAAACAACAACAGGAAAATTACACAAGCATGTAGCATTCAAAAAAAGAAGAGAAAAAAAAAAGACTGATCCTTTTCATGCATTATAGTCAGATACACCAAGCTAAATCTAGGGACCTGGCTCATGCAAAATTCCCTTTGGATTCAGTCCATCTTATCTAGCTTGGCATTTATATCAAGCTAATTGCTGTGGTATCTGACTGCCTTGTAAAATTACATAAATCCTTGTTAATGGTCCACCCAAAGACCTAGGCTTTCTCTCCTCCCATCTTGAAGGTTCAACTACCCCTTCACCAGGAGAGACTTTTACAAAATTCAGTTTGGAGGGAGTTCACAAAACAAGTTCCAAAATTCTGTGCGTCTCCATAATTTAAACCTCAGCTGTTCCCCTCTCCCCAGGAGAGATCCTATTAAAATAAAAAAGACACAATTAATAACTCATATGTTTCTAGCTGGGAAAAGGATCTGTGTTCAGTTAGAAGTGGAAGTCGTATGTGACAAACTTCTTTCCATAATACAGATTATTCATTCAACTGTTCACCCCTGTCCCTTACTTCTCCATTTCCATCCCGTCTAGTTCCAAAAAAATGCTCTCTACTATCCTTTCCACTTTTCATCTCAAAGATTCCACAAGACAACATACACCCAAATAAAGTTTGAATTAAGCTTTCCAAATCCATGATACCATGGAAGGTACAAAGTCTGGAAAGATGCTTCCCCATTGTTCATCCTGACCACCATTTCCCATGCTTTCCACATCCCAGGTCAGGCCTAAATACCCTGACATTGAAAGGCACTGACAGCCTTCTGAGTGTACAAAAAGGCTGCCAAATGTACCCAGTACAGCCAGAAGCCCTACTGCCTATCTCGCCATATAGAGTTTGTACATGTACCATAGGCATTGGTGTTCTTGAGGCAGGACACAAGCCTTTGGGAGTTAATTTCCTCTGGGCAAACGCTGAGCAACTTGAACTGCAGGAAGCCCCATGGTGGAGATGTTTTCTCTGCAAAACTTTTCTACCTTCAAATACCACCTCTGTAGAGTCTCCCTTACTCACCTTTGGCTTTTTTCCCCCTGCTTCCCCCCACCTCCTCCCCTCAACCTGCCTTTCCTGCTTTACCTTTCATTCTCCTAATTTCTACCTATTTACATTCTCACTGACATCCTGCCACACTTCTAGCCTCTCTCATTCCTTGGAGTCTCAGAACAGCAGAGATGCCCTATGCCTGACAAAGGGCAACTGCTTGAAAGCTTGCTGAGAACTTTTTTCCAACTACTCAGTTGGTCTAATAAAAGATATCACATCTACTCAAAGAACCTTGCCTGCCATGGTCAATTCCAGTCTTTTACCTGCTGTGAAATCCCCATAGGTTGCCATGAGTGTGGACAAAAGACCTCTTTTCAGCTGAGAGGCTGTTTGCTGTAGTGCTCTGCACTCAACCGGCTTGTAACAGTGGTCGTGATACTGGCTTCCTGTAACGTCCAGAGGCCTGCATGGAAAAAAACACCACCACCACTAACACAGGTGCCAAACTTCATTCCCTTGAGAGCTGCCTAATAATATTCTTGCTTGGCACATGTTAGAAAGCTGGCAAAATCAAAGAAGAAGGTAAAAATCACAAGCCCAATGGCTCAAAGCCATATTTGAACTGCACATTCACCACCTGTTGGCAAACCCTTTTGCAGGCAGTTTGAGTACTTCTGAAGAAACTGTTGTCAGCAGGTCCATATCTAGCCTATGGGGTGAGGAGAAAGGACAATACAGAGGCAGGGTGTTATCCCTGGGAGGGTTGAAGTAGGAGCATCCAGAGAGCAGCAGAAGCAATTGTTATTAAATCTTTGAAATAAGGGCCCCAATTTACATCTACGTACTGTAATTGCACTGCAGCCTTGTATCAAGGCTGATTGCAATGCAATGTAAGGTGAGGCTTAGAGGGCTATGTTGATTAAAAATTAATTTAACTGAATTTTAACATCAGGGAAAGGTGCCCAATTAACTACCCTCAAGTCTTTTCTGTATCTAGACCCTGGTTATCAAGCTTCCCTCCTTCCCATACTTCCTGTCTCTGTCCCGATTTAGAATGAGGGAGTAGATCCGCTTTCATGGCCCACTCATCCTGAATATTTCAGCTAGAGCTCAAACCAGAACCCCAAGTCTTCTGAATTAATCAGCAAATACAGACAGAAAAACTGCCATTAAACAAACGAATGAAAATTTACAGTGCCCCCCAGTAGCATGTACTGTACTTCAGAGTAAGAAATACTAGGCAAAAGTCAAATACCACAACACAGTCAATGCTGGCTTTTATTGGAGACAACTGTATGCACATGCACAAAAAAAATACACCACATGTGCACTCACACATGCACATTCACATAAACACACACTTCCTAACATTTCAAAAGTTTTAGGGACAGTACTGGAAGAATACCAAAGCCCAAGGCTAATAAATGCTAATAGTAGCCTAAAGGCTACTACTAAATTTAAGGCTAATAAAAATCTGCATTTGCCAATTACATTTAATTTTAGTCCAATTCTTTCCTTTATAGATTTCATAGGCATTTGGGCTGGAAGGGACCTCGGAAGAT